GTCATGGAGTCCACTGCTTGCTGGTCTTTGATCCACACTGTATCTGATGACAGGTTAGTGTGGGGCCATTATATCAGAGTGTTGTGTGTCTATCACTTTATGGGGTCCAAATTAGGTAGTTGTATTCTTTCCTTGGTCTGGTGTATCTGATAAGTTCTTGGGTCTGGTTTCTGTGGTATAATTTTTTAATACGCAGGTGCCTGTACAGACCCAACTCATTCCCAATAAACGTATAGCATGTCTCCCTTTTGATTCCCAGGGACAAGTCATTTATCAGTCTGTGCTGATGGGTGGAACCTGGCAGATGAGCAATTGCTGTTCCTCCCAGGGGCTGCAGTCATCCTTTGCCCTCAAAATGGAGTCAAAACTAGCTTGTAAAGTGAAGTCTCCCAGGGCAAGGCACAGTGCGCAAAACCACTGGAAAACCCAATGTGGAGTAGCTTTGAACAGGGGATAATCTGATCTCAACACAGGACACAAGTCACCTTTCAATTGATTACCTCTTAAATATCTTTATCTCCATATGGAGTCACCTTTAGATGCATAGAAATTAGGGCAGCAATATATGAACTGAGGAATATAAAATTCAACCCTTAACTCCAGCCTGTGAAGTAGCAATGCATGCAAAACCATCAGCATGTTCAATAATGTGGAGCGCTATTATCACATGGTGCTGTAGAGCTCACACAATGTGGTATCCTTTGTCACAGGGGAAACTGGGAGACAGTGACATCTGACATAAAATCTGAAGGATGTCAGACACTAAGAGATCAAGAGGACAGATAGAGGTTGAAGAAGAGGTTCAGTGTTTAAAAGCATTTTCTGCTTTTGCAGAGGACCTATACTCTTATTCCACTTTCAGGAGATTCAGTGCCCTCTTCTAAATTCCATGGTCACTGCACACACATGGTCCACATACATGTATGCAGGTAAAACACTCATACACATAGAAACTGAATAAATAAATAGATTTTTTTAAAGAAGGCAAGATATTGAATGAGACTAAGGCTGATAGGAATGAAAAACAAAGGTCAGTAGAAATGAGGCCTTCTGCCCCACCCCACCCCCAGATGGTTTCTCTGTGTAGCCCTGGCTGTCCTAGTGTGGTCAACATCCTCAGCCATCAGGGAATGTAAATTAAGTAAACATTGAGACTCCTCATTGCCGTTAGAATGGTCATCATTAAGAAAAAAACAAATGCAGATCTGGGAAACAGCTCAGTCAGTAAAGTGCTTGCCATGAAAGCATAAGGACCTGAGTTTGCTCCCCTAGAATACACGTACAAAAGCTGGGTGTAGAGTAGCTAAGACAGCTCAACCAGAAAAGGTGGCTGCCACCAAATTTTATGATCTGAGTTTGATCCCGTCCAAATAAGAGAAGCAACTCCTATAAGTTATTCTCTGATCTCTACAAGCAGATCTATGAACACACACACACACACACACACACACACACACACACACACACACACA